CGTGAATGTTGTTATTGTAGATGAAGATTCAGTTACACAATATTCGTAAAGTTATCATAAACAGAACCGCAAAAAAACTAATTCTTAGTGACAGCTGCGAATTTCGAATTGAACTTGTTAAGACGTGGGCTTATTTTAGCTGTTAGCAGCAAATTTAAAAGATCTAATTAGGTGAGTATAATCACTACAAGTATACAAGTTACTTGTTGCTTTTGAACAAAAATAAAAATACAACTCACGAGTGAAACGAAACATGCTAGAAAAGAGGGTGGCAGAATGTGTGAACCGTTCTCCTCACGTCTCAACGTTCTGGAGGAAACACTCCTTGCATCGAGAATCCGCGACGATCTCCAGCCAACTAATGTCCGCTGTCTGCGGTCGGTGGGCAAGAGTCCGCCCGACTAGATAGACCGAGCTGATGTTCAGTAGGGGTTGCGGGTGCATGCTAAATATATCGCGGCCCCGCCCACCACCCCGCGTCAGAAAAAAGAATAGCGTAGTTTTTTAAGTGTTTCATACTCCTTTGCCTGACTCAGGGAAATCAGAGGCATGAAATTCAAAGGTTGTGAAAAATGACCATCGACCTTGTATAAGAGATTAGCTATTATCTTAAAAGATCGCAGTACCGTTTGTCATCTATATAATACACGAATGATATCATGTTTCCTCAATGCTAAACACAATAATCACAAACACACAAGTGTGAATCAAAATGGAAACAATCCACTCTTTTCTGTGATGTTGGAAATAAATAATCTCAATAAATACCTGACTGTTAGGAAATACAATAATGGATGACTATTATATAAATAAATATGAATCACCAAGATTTATTGTATAGCCATCCACCGCTTAGCACGGCTTACCCGTGCTATCTCCACTATTGCGCTAACAACGAAAGGGTGACTTTTCCCAATTTCGTCCTATACTTTTCTTAAAGAACCTTCTCATGACTATAATAAATACAACTAGAAAGCATTGGCAAAATTGGCATAGGTGTTGTTTAGTTATGCGCTTACCAACACATTTTGCGATTCATTTTTGCATATAAATAAATAACCATTGGTATCATATATACTATTACTGTATTTATTTTTATGTGAAGTCTTGGCAAAAGGGATCATTGATTACCTGATGGGACTAGAAACACAAAGTTGAGATAGTTTTACACCAGTTTGCTGAGAGGTCGTGGTGTCACTCCAGTTGAGCCGGCCCTTTCATGCCAAAACATAGCTCTCTCACAGTTAAATTTATTAAGATATTCATATAGCACTATTGCATTATTATTATATACACGTTGTCTTTGGATTCATACGTATAATCTAAACTAATATTATAAATGCGAAAGTAACTCTGTCTGTCTGTCTTTTCTTCTGGCCTAAACTACTCAACCGATTTTTGTGAAATTTGGTACAGACATAGTTTGGAGCTCAAGAAAGGACATGGGATAGTTTTTATACCAAAAATCTGCAGGGAGTCACTTTTCCACGCGAACGAAGTTGTGGACAAAAGCTAGCATTATAATAAGTAAAAGCAATACGTAAATAAGGATACAATGTACTCGTATAATAATATAGGCTAGCTATCAAAATGCAAATCATAAACAAGTACTTTATCTTCTTATTTTTATTTAAAATGGACGTCACTGTACAGGACCAATTTCCGTAAACAAGGACCACGTTTAATAAAAATAAACTTGTATTTATTAAAACAAGAAAGCGTCGCGCCTTCTCTGTTTTTTAACATTGAAGTTGCTCTATATGGATTTGTTTTTTATTTATAAATAGTTCGATAACAAATGCATAGACAGTTCCCGTCTGGGTTCAAAGGACCTAAAAATAGGGAATGCATTCGAAGGTGTTTTTCATTCCATTTTTCAAAAATATAGAAATCTAGTGGTATATGTTCCTTAGAAATACACTTATTTACCAATTTTTGTATGTTATGCTCAACACAGATAACAAAGCTGTCAATAAGCATCTGGCTTACCATGAAGTGGATATTGTAATCAATGGTATCGCTAGAAATGTAATTACCACGTTGCCAGTCTTATAAAAACTAAGGATGTTCATAAAATTTATATAAAAAAAACGTTTCCCCACACTATTATCTTCTCCGGGCGCGTTTACAAACTTACAATTTAACATACACATCACATCCAGTCCCGGAAAAATAGTTTGTGTGATCACACAAAGATTAATCAGCAGTGATGTCTCATTCTTGTTATTATTTTAAGTACAAACATCAATTGGCCTTTTACAACCATATCTTCTTGTGTTCATCTTTACTTTAGCCTATTAAGTCCTCCTAAGGCGCGTTCATAAAATAGTGTTGCGAACATCTTCGCTGAATAAGGAGTGCGTTGTTGCTTCATGAAGCTTTACATGATGGGTCAAAGGTCATTATAGGGCAAAAGTAGTGAAAGGTAGCATCGCTAATTCCGTGTTCAAATAAATTCGATATTACGACATAAACTGCGTGCAACCGGACCACACTGGCGAGGAGTTTATGCCAATTATATGGTTATAAGTGGTTTGCTTGCGTTGTTCAAAGATGCGAAGTATATTACCGGTAGATTTATTTTGCAAGGTAAAAATCACGTATTTCATTATAGAGAAGGAAGAGTTACACGAAAATGTAAGTTTTTAGTGAGAAAGCCATTGCAGTGCAGAGAAAAAGCATATATATCTATATTTAGTTATATCCTTAAACATGAAGACATAAAATATTGCCTATTAAAATTAATATCTAATTATAGGTTCACTCGATGCTAGCATTCATCATTTCGCCAGCTACAAATCCATATTAACAATTCTTAGCTTAACACTATGGTACAATCTTGATTTTAATTATGTTCAAAGGACTCACAGTGTCAACATAAAATATTATTGGATTGTTATCATAAGATACTAGACTAGAAAATAGGATGAACGTTAAAGTATAGTTAGTAAATCCATGTGAACGAAGTATTTTGGCAAGCTTATTAAAAAAATTAACGGACTTTTAATTTTTGTTTTACGTTAAAATAATCTAGACGTATCACAAATGGTTATAAACATTTTACTGTAGGCCTAATTAATCATAATTAAAGCAGGTAACTGGGTATGACAGTTAAGTTAGTACATACTGATATATCGAAATGATTTATGCGTCCTAGGTTTTTTAAATCTTCCCATATAGTTTGTACCTGCAGAATTTAAAACCAAAGGACAAGTTTGCGGACATAAGGACCAAATTAATTTTACACCACCATACCTAAATATGTAACCTATTCATTTTAATCTTAAGAATTAAGAGTGTTGTCTTCTCTCAACTGACTTAAGAAAATCTTTTTCCGACGACCATTCGCAGAGACAATGTTCAATACCAAACTATTTTTGTTTGTAAAATTAGTTTGTACCTATTTATTACTTTCTCAAACTCAATACAAAACAATAATAAATTTTAATAGTACATATCTTCAATATCTTTATAATTAAATACTTCCGCGTAATTGTGAATAAAACATTTGATGTGTTTAGTTTATAACATGTTTATAAACACTATGAAATGAGTAGAAAAACCGACTTTGTCAACATGAAACATCCACTGACTCATTCGAGTGATCGTAATCCGACTCAAAGGTATTTTTTCCATCATCAGTTTTATTGGTTTCAAAAGTACATAGAATAAACGTTGTAGAACCATGAATTTTTTGTCAGGGGAAAATCATCAAGTGACTTTTCCCGCCCAGGGTTAGGCGAGAGAGAGTGTCAGACTCTTACTGACTACCCCCCCCCCCCCCCGTTTCTTCTCCTGCTCTGGGCCGAGGCCGCGGTGACGGTTGTAGAACCATGCTGAATGGGCCAACTCAACTCGTGTGATATGAATGACCCCGTCACGGGCTCATAAAAATTGGCTTGAAATAACGCTTGCATTATGTTTCGCCATGATTGATGTTGCCATGGGCCTAATCCTCCCCTTTCCCCCAAAGTCCCCAACTTTCAAGAGGCTATCAACGTATTTGCAATTCTTCTGGTGTTGTTTTTGTCCATGAGTAACGCCGCCAGCTTACCGTCGGGGCAGACGCCCTGCATTTTGCCATCCTATCTATACATTCTCTAAATTAATTAAAGAGTATTCCTAAATGTTGGTTATAATCATACCGAATATTATTCTTCACTGAATTATAATTGTTTCATCTTTTTAATATGCTACGGTAATAAAATTGCTCCTTAACTTAAAAAAAAACTGCACTGCTTTTGATAAACTGGTCGTGAATCAAGATAACTATGAAGCGACCGGTTCATTGCAGCAAAAAGGGACTGGGAAATTTACTGAGGCGCCTTCAGTGTTCAGATTCACTCAAATCTGACAGCATTGGACCATCTTATTATTTTAAAAGATTGTAAGAATCTTATTATTTTGTGGTGACTTCAGAGATGTAAAAGATTATTGTTTGATTGAGACACGAACTTGGTTAAGTCTCGGAAAATTAATTTGAAATGGTTGCCATGACAATTTGAATCGTAAAATAAAAAAATATTCAAATATTTTTATAGGAATTTTGGTAAGTATTGTGTTAAGGTATGGTGACTTGAATTTACAAATTGTTATTTTATGTGACCTTATGAATTTGAATATCATTATGTATGTGCTTTTGCAAAACGATGATTTAATTCGCCATAGTAATCATGCAATAGTCCATACTTCGGTCAATAGAATGTTATGTGTGTCTAAAACGATGAGCCCTTGCAAAATTTTTAGGCATAGAAAGCTATCGGAACCAATTTCTTACAAACTAACGAAGTACTTTCGTCACAGCATCAATAAAACTTTACGATCTATGGATAGATTTGACGATATCCATGATAAATTTTATACGAATCGACAGGGATGAATGGTTGATTGTTTCGAAAAAAACAATGCGTATATTATTAAAAGTGATGTAAACCTGTGTCGTTTTGAAGGCATTTAGCAGCTATATTTTGTCGTACATGCGGAGTTTATCCGTGGTAGCTATCGGTTATCAGGCGAAGTACGGACGCGCGCGCGCGCAAACCAACAGTTGATGTTCGCGCGTCGAAAGGAAGACACATCCGCTAGCCGCCTAGCGCCCTTGTGACTTGTGATCGATACACATCGCGTGGTGATAATAAACTTACAAAAAGCCGGTGAATTTTATTAAAAGGGTGCGTGTGTTTTGTTTTTTTTGCCTACAATATTATGGTGGTATCCTATCTTGTATGATAGAATCCTTGCAGTACGTATACGTAGTTTTAATGCATGCCATTTTTAAACTGTAATTCGAACATCTGCAGAACGTGTTACCATTTTTAGCTTTGCGAGACGGAATAAATGTATATGGGCGCATGTTTTATATCGAATGCATTTTTTATGATAGTTTTTATCAAATGTGTATTTATTTTACTGTACAGTTTTTATTCAGACGTCAAAATATTGAACAGTTTTTAAGTATGAAACTGAAAACACATTAAATTTTGACTAGAATAGTTTTCAAAAAATTACATAAGTCACAGCCATTACGAGAAGGTATAATGAGCTTTCTCTGTTTAAGTATAAAACATAAAAACGAATGCAAAATCGTAGTCCGTGACGAATATTTATGCGAGACATCACAATACTGTAATACTTTTATCCATATGTAATGCTATTAGGGGAGCGCTGGACAATGTAATGTACGTACCTACAAATTATAAAAGAATTCAAATGAAGAAATCATTTAGTTCATACATATTTATTACTCGTTTTATATATAATTTAATATTTCTAAATGCTCATGAAACATTTTTACGTTTATTTCCTGAGAATGGTAAGCAATGTCTCATTGACCTTCATTGCAATGTTTGGCTTCATCATTGTGGTGTTTAAACATAAATAAGGTGTTTTTTGAATAGACAAGGACGGGCTCATTATAAATGTCAGAGAATAAAATAGATGGATTATCAAGTGAAGCAGTAGGTAACATTTCAAAATCTCAGCTAGTTAAATAGTAGAACTTCTCACAGCTTATTGTTTACTTATAGTTTCTATTAGCTAAATGGGTTTTAAATGACATTTGAACGATTCGATAGAAAACTTAATATGAGATAGATGTATAGACGATATCTATCGGATGTCATCAATCCCGTACATTCGTTTTCTATTCACTATGATAATGTACACTTTCAGTTTAGACATTCAACTATTATTTAAATGCCTGTAAGTCAGATGCCTATGTTGAATTCAATAAAACCACCTCATATTAGGTAGATGAGTGATTATCTTTTGAAACAAAACTGCGTGAGCGTCCTTAAAAAAGTTGGCAAATCCAAATCTATCATAAACGAGTACATAGAACTACTTGTCTTATTTACATAGTTTTGTGAATATACAAATGTATATTTTATATTTATATATATATTATTCTTGTTTTATACTATACCTGATATTTATTTATATACATACTGATATTGTGTATGTCTCATTATAAAGATGTTTATATTTAAGTTATTTACTGTTATATTTACGTATATCACCTTCCACTCTCATCTCTCTACCACCTAAAGTTCGACTATACCAAAGGTATTAAATTAAGTCCACCTATAAATTTGAATACCTATATTTAGTTTTGAATTAATTTTAAATAAAGAAATGAACAATATAGTAACAACAACTAAGGACAAATAAATGTTCATAATCCAGAACCAATTCACCATGTCTAATTGTTGAGCTTTCGGTTGATCAAAAGAATCGAAAGGTCGTGACCTCGCTAAGCATTGCCATCTGCTTTTCTGACAGATCACGAAGACATTAAGATTGAAGTTCCTATAATGACTGTGACATTCAAAATATTTTTGTTTTGTATCATGAAATAAGTATTATTTGAATAACACGATGTCTAAATTAGAGAAAAAATGTCTAGACTTAATTTTCAGAAATTTTAAAAAGCCTTCGTTATTTGAAAGTGAAATGAATTGACTTTTCGTTTGGTAATTTAGAAGAGTTACCTATTGTGTTTTACGTTACATTAAATTTTAGATATTAAAGAAGAAGACTTCTTAATAAAAAGAAACTTTTCTAAAATACCAGAGTGTGTATACCAAAAGAGTTCTAATTACTTTTTTCAGTACTAGAAAGTAGCTACCCATTTGAACTTCATAATTTTTATTAAGCTCTGCAATTTTAAGATTCTATAATTAAAAACAATGTAGCCAATGATGTCTGCTTTTAAAATAATTGACGTTAAAAACGAATGTATTTTTTGTTGCATTGCAAACAATAAATGTCCTGACACCTATCTGCTTGAGATCACCTTAAATTTTTTAAATTACCTAAAATAAAAAAAATGCAATTAATTGCATTTGAGGTATGAAAATTTTATTATTCTAGACTAGCTTCCATACGCGGTTTTGCCTACGTGGTATGTTCTTAAAAAGTAGCCTATTACTATTTAGGTAATTACTTATCCATATACCAAATTTTATTCAAATCGGTCCAGCCCTTTTTGCTTTTTTTGTGAGGGGAAAAATCATCAAATGACTTCTCCAGCCTAGGGTCGGGCGAGAGGGAGAGTCAGACTCTTACCGACTAAAAATCCCCCGTTTCTTCTCCTGCTCTGGCCCGGGGTCGCAGTGTCTCATTGTGCTTACCCCGCAACCCCGGCTGAACACCAGCCCTAAGCCTTTTTTGCGCATTGATAATATTAAATTTAGTAGGATTAGCTAAGCATAATTTTCATACAAAATATTCAACAAAAAACTGTCCCACACAATTATTCTTAATAGCAATATATTGAACAAAAAATCTTTGTTTATATCATCGGATTTAAAAGTAAATGTAAATTTATTCTTTGTTATTATTCCGAGCAGATAGTTCATGTAGGATATACATAATTTAATATGGATTAATTAATTGAACGACAATGGAATTTTTCGCATAGATTTACAGTAAAGTTTATTAATGTATTTGACAGTGTGAAGTATAATTATTAATAATGTCGTTTCTTGTTGTATAAATTTATTATTATTATTACTGATTATACTTAGACGGGAATCACTTGTTTGTAGAATAATTTTATAGGTCTCGGGAAAAGTTTACTTCTCCAATAAGTGACATTTAGGTTTCATTTTATTACATTCGTAATCTAAACGATAATTATAATAATACTAAGTTCGATGCACCGCTCCTGGTTAAGGACCTCGTTTTGAGGATAATAAAGGAAATGGCCGGTTGAGTTGTCAACACGCTACAGGCACGTAGCTGGAATTGCATTGCAAGGTATGATGTGCTAGCTAAACTTCAAGCAATCACGTCTGGCCAAAAAGGATTTATGTATAAAAGACTGGTCCACTAGCTTCAAGCAATCACGTCTGGCCGAAAAGGATTTATGTATAAAAGACTGGTCTATTAGATTGGTGAGAAATAAATTGGTTCATCATAATTAGGTACACATTTTGAAAGGCGTTAAAATTTATTTATCTTACTGATTGCATTGACATGCAATACTTGAGGTTGATAACCTCGAGTATCGTTTTACTAGCTTCCTCATTTACTTTTTTTTTATAAACGACATTGTGTATTCCCATGTTGTTCACAAAATTATGCTTTGTTTATTAGTTGCGTTGTTAATTATTGTCTCTGATGATAAACCCCTCTTTGTTGTTAAGCATCAATCATAAACAATAGTTAACATGATATTTCACTACGATTTAGTTACACTCTACTTAAACGGTTTCGTCTGTTTCTTCATTTACTTTATAGGTCATAACAAATGCACACATTTAAATTCTATAACTTTCATCATACCAGAGACAAGTATCCAAACTCAAGTTCGAATTTTAAATATGGCTTGCTTATAAATATTTTTTTCTAGACATTTCCTATCAAACAATACATACAATTATACAACAACTCTGAACCTAGAATCGACTGATAAAACATGTCTGAAAATTTTCAAATAAAAAGGTTAAGCAGGGAACCGTTTCGAAATACATATCTTTCTTATTTAATAGTTTCTTCATATTTTGGGATAAGAGATTTTACTTGTATTAAACCATCAGTAAATGGGATCACTGTGGAATATAATTTTATAAAATAGTTAAGGTAAGTAAACCAATTATAACTTTAAACGGTAAACAATGTTACCACTAACACGCAAATTAAACATCATTAGAACATTAAATCCGATAAAATTATCGCGCAACTTACTGTTAATACTCTGTAATTGCCATTCAAACTGATTCTAACCGTTTATTTGTTTTTGACGTCCAAAACGGAACGCGGTGTTTCTGCATTCGACACTTTAATGACCAAAAGTAAGTAGGCAACATTAATTCGAATTAATATCATAATTATATGGTTTATTAAATGTTCAAGCTTCGTTGGTCTTTCAACAGCCTTTCCTTATTCACGACGGTGTTATGATTAATACATAGTTCATTTTTACATATGTAATACAGGTAATATCAATTTATGATCGGTACCTACACTTCCCTTGCCGGGGTTGCGGGGTAAGCGCAATAAGGTACCGCGACCTCGGCACAGAGCAGGAGAAGGAACAGGGGGGTTTTTAGTCAGTAAGAGTCTGACACTCCCTCCTGCCCGGCCCTGGGCGGGAGAAGTCATTTCATGATTTTCCCCTCACAAAAAAAAAAAAAAAAAAAAAAAAAAAAAAAAAAAAAAAAAAAAAAAAAAAAAAAAAAAAAAAAAAAAACCTACACTTCCCTTATATTCTTTATTACTAGATGAATATAATTGGCTATGATTACGGGTTATGTAATCGATACTTGAATAATTGTATTCATGTTGTATAAAAATGGTCTTAATTTTTGTGATGGTCTTGAAGGACGATTTTGTAGTTCTCAGTTCTAAATTGAATAGGTTTTAGAATATAATTGTTAGCAAAGTTTTTTCTAATGGGTCACTAAAATGTATTATTTTGCGTCATCATAGAAATTTAACGTGTACACAATGTTTTTGCTCAATCGGTTTAAGATATTAATTGCTTTGGTTTGCTTCAAAAGTCAGTTACAAAATTTCACTGCACAAACATTGCAGTTTAATAAAAGCTTAATATAAATGTTTTCAAAGTGCTCGTAGGCATGAAGCTATGTGTGTTATGTAAAGGTTCTTTTAACAAAAAAGTAATTCAATAAAAAACCTCACATAGTTGACGAAGGCTGTATTAAAT